TTTATGTTTAAATTAAATGTGGCGACCAAAAATCTGTTTAAATAATGTTTTGGAATTGATATGTTATGGCGGTGCCGTTCACTCGTCGCGACACTGCATTTGTTTTAATCGATCTTCGACAATCTCCTTTGAACTACATTAACTAGATCAAAAAACAGACCTATTGAAATTTAAAGGAGCTAGTTTTTATAACTTGATGGTAAAAGTGCTCGATTTGGGGCATAATATGATCGAAAGTGGCAAAGATCTTCAATGAGATGAAAAATGTGTATTTAATTGGAATGATATTGAATCATATATCGCGCCAAAGAAAACAAAGTTTTACAAATCGAATATTCAGTTGCAATTCTCACGGTGGCTGACATCGTTAATGTTGGTCCGTTAAATTTATGCAAAAAGCACATGGAACGGTTTTTATTGTAAGTGTCTATATGTACGATGCGTTTTATGTTTATGAAAGTCGACATGCGTGCGTGCAAACATTTTTCATGTGCGTGTCGGTCAAAGAGGAGAAATGTAAATGACTTGAAGCAAGCACGCCGGAAAATTCGTTCAGCCAACATTCGAGAATGAAACAACTTCGGAATCAAACATCCGGGGAGTGTGAATCGATTATTTTTTTTTAACTTTGCTCGTCTGAAAAATTCTGCATTCATTGCATAACACAATTTTTGTTTGTCTCTGTTTAACATATGTCTACCGTAAACCCAGTATCAATTTGGCCGATGTGTGTTAAGATGCAAAATTTTTAATGAAATACCAAAATAGATGAATTTGAATAAATTTTCCATTAATTGATTACTAAATAAATGGAATAGCAAATGCTTGTGGTGTATATACCATATCGTTATATATTTTATCGGTATAGATCGTGTGAATGTGTCAACAACTATTAAAATTACATATATTTTACCTAAAATGAAGGCGACAAAACCGAAACAGAGACTTTTTCATGCCTATCGAAACGAGAATGATTTTTTCTCATTTCATCTTCTTCGCGCTTCATTAAACAGGCACATGTGATTTGATCCACACACACACAAACGCACATCAGACATGTATAGTGGGCTTGTATCGATATCTGTATCGATTTCTTATAAATATTTATAGCTATTAATTTTATACATTTTAATGTAGTCGCTTTTGTTCTTCGATCATGCATTTTAAGTGTTTCATTGCTTGACCAGAGATACACTGTGCATGTGTCATTGACGAGATGTGATTTCCTAAAACGTTTGCGACAGTATACTGTGTGAAGACTGTAAACAGGTGATGATGGCAGCTTGTTAACTGATGACGATTGGTGTGTGTACTTGGTTTGCTGAACGCTTCGTGGCGTTATTCATTCGTGTGTCGCTGTTTTCAATATGCGTGAGCGTCAATCGATGTTGTGTAGTAGAACCAGTAACAAGCCAACATACAAATATGATATTCGTGGTAGTGTTTGTGTGTAGGCTTCGATGTTTAATCGATTTGCTGCCACTTATTTTCTATATATGTTTTTTTTTCTCTCGTTGCGAGACAAGTAAAAAGAAACCAGCGCTTACACGAGAGATCAAATGCGCGTTTGCAATAAATTTAATTGAAATGTGCCACCGCGAGATGTGGTGCGAGAGAACAAGTCATTCCGCTCACACATGTTGCAAATCCATCTCCGAACATGTGATGCAATATCTTCATTATAATCAAATATAAACAACCGAATCGACCACAGCAGAGAATGTTGACTCACGTGAATGCAAACTGCCACTTTTATTTACTTCGTCTTTGAATGGTAAATTTCACACTCTGCATACAACCGGGCCAACAACCACTCGTCGACAGTTTGAAGTTCGGCGAATATAGGCAACAAAATGTGCGTGCGATGATGAATTTTTTTTTTCAACACGATAAATTATGCGCGAAAATCGAAAATAGTTTCTTTTTTTCAGGCGTAATTTATACATTTTTGCATCTGCACACACATATGACTATTTTTTTGTTCAATGCGGCGCTTTAGTTCAGCAAGTTTATTTGCTCAGCGCATACAAACTGTGCCACACACTTTTTTTTTGAAATTACAATGTAAATTTCGTTTAAAAGGAAAGAGACACACACAGAGAGAAGCATTGCATAATTCAAGTCAAGTCAATTATAACGTGTTATAATGTATTTTTGTACGGGTTTTGGCTTTTTTGCGCTCTTCATTGGAATTGATCTGCGGCGATTATGTCGTTAAGAAAAGTTAAAAAAAAGAGCATAATTAAATGTAGATTTAATATAATTAACACGGCTGTTTTAATATATTTCCATTGCGAATCAAAAGGTTTTCTTTGGCAGTTCGCGTAGCCGGCCGCACTTTTAATTGGGAAAATTCAAATCAACTCACCAAAATGACATTTTAATTGATAGCGTCCAAAACCACACAGTTTAACATACAAATAGAGAATATTGCGCAGTCTCTAACGGTCGACAAACACATTAAATCATCAAATTGATTTGTGATTTGCATTAATGAAATGAGTGAATAACATATAAAATGCTCTTTTTTGGCAAACCAAGACGATTATTTTATGTGACTGCAATCTTTTAGATGGTTGGTTTATCATGTCAATTTGCAGAAAATGTCTAAATAAACCACATATATGGCTAATTTATTTGAAAGATATATGTGTTTGATGACGCAGATTTTGTTTTGTATCGTTTTGCTCAATGTCCGCTATCATTTTGATAATTTTAATAATATCATTAAACATGTGCTAAAGAATGTCCGGACATTCATTTCTACAGGAGGGCTCCCAAAGAGTAGAAAGAACCAACCACATCAGATTTTGATCAAATTCCCAAATGAAGATCATTGCTTCGTGCAGATCGGTTTACAAATCGTATGGCGATTAAGAAGACTCTCAATGTCATTTTAGTTTTGTATTTTTATTTTATCAAAGTTTCATTTCACACATTCAGAAGCCTCGAAAAATATGCGACAGAGACAAAGCGAGAGCGAGAGAAATAAACGGTCTGAGATAAAATTGTGATTTTAACTGTTACTGCGTGTTTGCTACTAAATGTGCTGTTTGTTATAGTTGTTGTTTGAATGTCGTTATAGTTTTTGGCATCGTCATCAACAAACGTGTCCAATATAGCATGGGAATCGGAATATGCAAATTAATTTTTCGGGTGATATTTGTTATCGCATACAAGTGTTAGTGACACACGAGTAGGAGCGCGAGCACCTGAAAAACCAGCGAAAAAAAAACAATCTGGTTGTTCAGATTGTTTTAGTTGGGCCATTCAAATAAATTAAAATAAAATGAAATAAAGAGAAAAAAAAAGCACCAACAACAACAAAAAAGTGTACAACGAATGATAAGGGACAAAGAATGCTCGCATATTATTTGGTTTGAACAGAATATGTTTGAAATGTTTATTGGATAGCCACATATATTCAATTCAACACATTCAAGACGAGGAAGAAGAAGAAGAAGATGAAAAAAAAAACATCTACAAAAAGAAGAATGTAGTTCGACGTCAGTTTGATCGGTTGCATCGTTTTCAATATTATGTTATTTATCCGATTGGCTCAAGTGCACATATATGTAGAAAGGGAGAGAATTTCGCGAAACGAATGTGAAAAAGTGGAAGAGAAAATCCGCAATGTGATCGATTAAAAAATGTTCAACACTGTGAAAACAGTGTTGTCGCTTGTTAGAGCTGTCCGCTTGGTTTCTTGTCTGCATTCTGTTTTGGTTTATTGCTGGTATACTTTTTCGTCTTTGCTGCCTTGCTTCTTATTATTTTTTTTTGTGCGATTTGTTTTTCAACATCGTTTTGTTTTTGATATTTTAATGATTATGATGCGACAATTATTTAAATCAAGACACATACACGCGCTCGTAAACGACCATACGTGTATAATGATCTTCAACCAAAGTACCACAAACAATCCAGTTCGAAGCCTGAACTTGTGCTCGGCGGAAGAAGAGAATTCGAAAGAAAAAAAAAATAAAATGCAAAGCAAAAACTTGATATGCTCAAGTATCTGTTTAACAGCTTACTGAAAAATGAATTACACACAGCCGCATGAGTATGTGTTTGCTAAAAAAAGGCTCACAGCTTCGATAACAGCGGTGACAATTCATTTGCTTATTTTTGTGCACAACAACAAACCATCATGGAATATGACGATGACAACTTGCCCAAACACATATTCGAAATTAAAACGAACATCTACCATAATCTTACACATTTAAACTCTACACGCTCGCACTCTCATGAGATATTTATTGTAAAATTATTACTTTGAACATCGGATATTTTCAAAATCGTTGAGGTGCAAGCGAGAAACTGGATGAAATTGACAACTTTGGTCGAATACGGCCGAAAATTTATCGAATTGACATTAGTCGAATTATAAAATTATCAATTTAAATAATTTTATTGATAATTGAATTAATTTTTATGAGCTCGACGCTGTTTTCGTGCATCTGCATGCAATGCACTTTCGTGGTCCCGGACCGGTCTCACCGAAAATACATTGTACACTTAATGATCGTGTAAAGTATGCAAATAGCCAACGGCACGGCACGGTGCTGTCTCACGGTGGTCAAATGACAGCGACGCGAATCTGTCTCTCTTCTCATCTCCGCCCGGTTCGCATTCATTTCGTTTTCTGCGTTGCTGTGAAAAGCGGCCAAAAAAATATTGTGATTCATAACTTGTTAATTTATTTCAAGATTTGATTCACTTTTTCCTTTTACTGCCCTTTCCACATCGGATAATGTCTCTTTTGAAACATTATTTTTTATTATTGATTCTATTTTCAACATTTTTTTTTACACAATAAATAACTTTATTCTTGACTGTGAATATTTTCTAACTTTTTTATAACGATACTTTCTTTGCTCTTTTTTCTATTCGACTTGCAATGCGATAAATTTACGATCGAAAATTATTATTCACAATCAAAAATAAAGAATTAGAAAGAAAGCAAGAAAAAAAAAAGAATAGAAAGAATTAAATACCATGTGGTCCGTATCCAGTGGAGTAGTATCGTCGATGGCCAGCATTTTCGAGTGAATAGAATGCACCCATATCGGATGCGTCGACGATGCCTCCATTGTTGGCATTGGCAGTACCACTCGAGCCAGTAGATTGATGACTTGTCCCAGCATTCGGTGACCCACTCAGACGCGGATTGTCATACCATCTCGATTCGGCCGATGTCATATCCATAATCATAGAAGTTCTTTTTTTGCTGGTTTATAAACAAAATTTACACTCCGAACTATCTCGGATTCGTTTTTCGCTTTTAAATATGTTTTTATACTGTTCTTTCTCTTTTCGCTCTTTCTCTTTGTGCGTTATTATCACACACTAATTGGACCGTGATTTGTGTGCTGTTGATCGATTTATATGGTTTTTGTGTATTTGTTTCTCTTTCTGTGAATTACTTTCTGACCACAACTGTTTTTTCATTAAGAAGACATTCGCTCATCATTTTATTTTGTGGTTTATTTTTATTGATTTTATTTTTGTTTGTCTTCAACTTATTCTCTCTCTCTCGTCGTGGTTTTTTTTCTTCTTGCTTTCGGTATTTCGGTAATAAAATCACACGATGACGACTGAACATAAAAAAACGCAAAGTATTAGACACGGAGCCAATTGGAAATAAAATATGTACGATCATAAAACAAAAATCCAAATGATGCACACACAAACCGCTTATAACGCGACACGATACGCAAGAGACAAATGTTGAAATGAAAAAAAAATGTCACTCGATTTTAAACCGTGAGAGTTTTTAATTCACATATAAAACTATCATTCTTGCGATATGCTTACACATCACACGACGAAATGTTTGTTGGTTAAAATGAAGAAAACGATGAAAATGTTATATATTTTTTTGGATGACCATCAAAAACCGATATTTTATCAAAGTTCTTCTTGAATAATTCACATGCGAAACTCAAATTTTATGTTTGCTTTGACTCACCACAAATTAAATTAAACGGACGATTTAAAAGTTCTTTTTTTTTTAAGTTTTAGGTTTGTTTTGAATTCGTTATTTATTATTATTATTTTTTATCTCATTTGATTCGGTTTTTTTGCCACAATCGATTTTAATTGAGCTATTTCATTGGCTATTAACTTGACGATAAAAGAATGCACAAATCGATTTAGAATCGGTATCTTCGAGAGAAAAAAACGTGTGTTCTCTGTCTGTCTCTCGTTGAAAAGTGCACATATATAAAAAAAACTGATCCCACAGGTTGTGCGACTATCTTGGCTGCGTGCACAATACTGAAAATCTATTCGATTTCGATCGTGTGTGCGACAACTATTTTGCCTCAACTTTTGAAAATCTCCTTTGCCGTCTCGTTTTGTCTGCACTTCTTTCTCTCCTTTGTATTCGGAACGAAATACCTATCTCGTTGCACACAGTGCTTTATACCTTTGCTGTTTCACTCTTGTTGATGCATACTAATCGGTTAATGTCAGGCGCCAACCCCTAATGGTCCTATATCCGATTTACTATCATTCACGTATCTGGATAATCTGCAAGGAAGCAACAAAAATAAAGAAAAAAGAAGAAGGAAAGAAAAATAAGCATTAAAACTATTGTGCACAAACATGAGATGGAACTATTTATGAGGTTTGTTGTTTTTTGTATGACAAATTCGAGGTCAATTCCTTCGTCGACTGTGTATGTATATTTCAAGTTTTATATATACAATAAGTTTTGCCCGGATAGACATTCAAAACGCATTGCAAAGAAGTAGAGGTTTTTTTTAGAAAAAAAAAGTATTATTTCAAAGTGCAATTACGGTAAAGAAGAAAAAGAAGAAGAAAAAAAACTATGAAAGATACAACTGACTGATCAAATGAATGCATGAATGAAGTCGTGATCGTTTACTGATTAATAGCTTTCAATTTGAACGTCGTGTGTCTCAATTAAAGTTTGAATAACACAGCTAATCGTTGCAATATTAAAATCCTTCTAAATCACATCGATTGAAGTAAATGAATGCAATCGCTCAACTGATCATCAATGTAATTAATATTGATGATTGAACTGCGAATAAAAAACGGTTAACTTTTTTTGCCCGTTTTGAGATTATCACAGCCAAGAGATAATAATTTACACGTACGATATTTCAACGATTTTTGATGCCAAAGCAATCGGCATTGATTTCAGGTTGCGAATCATTTCGATTATAGCGATAAAATCAATTTGAAGCACATATAAGTATGCTGAAATTCAATCGTAATGTGTTGATTTGAACGACAAATTTGGGAAAATATAAAACAAAACCGCTATTTCATTTTAAGTACAAATTTATCGTTTAACGTTGTTATCTATGAAACTCAATTTCATCTAATCGGAAAGTTGTTGACAAATTAAACGCGCCGATTTGTACAAGTTTATCAGTATCGAAATCTAATCGATGTACGGTCTTATTGTGCGTCAATCGATAAGGAGCTTTGGTGAAACTTCTTTCGACGCGGTTTTTCTTACAATTTCTCACCTTTTTTTGTAGTTTAAGCAAATTTATAATATGAAATTACTGACATTTTTCAATTATGAAAATCATTGACGCAATCGCGGTAATGGCGATCAATTTGAATCAGAACAATGCACTCTAATTACTGCAATGTTATCAAATGAGGAATACATTTTTTTTCGTTTATCGATTTTCAATGCCACTTTTGTTTTAAAAAGTAAAAAAAATATTCTTTTGACAAAAGTGCGGCTCAAACAATTCTACATGAGTCAACAGCGCAAAAATCATTTTTGACATCAACAAGTTCAGCGATTCATTCTGACGGCGATAAAATTACCGAAAATTGATAAATCAGTGATATGATAAGATTTGAAAGGCGAAAAGTATATTTTGATGTACATTTTGTTTTATTTTAAAATGTCTGAAACGTTCAATCAATGTTCAATGTTGCACAAATTGACTCTTTTTGTATTGATACATCAGCACCATACAATCGAATCGTTTGGGTAAATAAAGTTGCAAAAAAATGCGAGACAAAATCGGAAGATTCTCTAAATTGTTGTATCAGTCCTTAAAATGGCACTTGAATTACATCGGAATCATTTTGAAGCAACGTGATTCAAAAAAGTCGTTGGATTTGATTTTGTCGGCTATAAATTATCGTGCCGCGGCGCACCTCATAATTCATATGTATTGTGAAATATTTTGATGTTCGAACACAAATGTGCCATAAAATATTAACAATGTAATTAGTGAGATTTAAATCGAACGATGCTCGCGGTCGATTAGTATCGCCTGATTTATGAACGAATCGATGCGCAGTAATTAAATCTTGAGTCGGAAACCAATAACAACACCGGGAGAGAGAGAGAGAGAGAGAGAGAGAGAGAGAGAGAGAGAGAGAGAGAGAGAATTTCTTTGCATAATGAATAATCAATTTAAATCATTTATCCAACATACAAGAGCCACCACACTCCGGGCGCTAACACATTCGACATTTAAGACTATCAATAAATGGGAGGAAAAAAAACGTTGATTTTTCAATTGTTTGGCAGCTCGCGATTACTACGGTACCCGGCGTTGTAATCGATATTCATGCATTTATCATATTTTTTTCGTGGTCCATTCAACTTCACAAATTCAATTTGACTCTGAATTTTGAATGGCAAGAAAAATTAAGATCCACAGGCAGTATTGTGTTCGCGTGTGCTCTTATATGTCAGCAATCAGTTTTAACTATTAAAATAAATTGAAAAACACTAAACTAACTAAAAAAAAAACTGTGAAATCTATAACTAGGCGAATATGAAAATTGACCTCTTCAAATCTTTCTAATGCCATTCGTTGTGAGTATCGTTCCCTCCCATTATTCATCGCAGTATGCTCTCGCTCTATTTTTTATATTGATTTATTTTTTTGTGTCTGCTTTGACTCGATACTACATATTTCTACATTACATTCCAAACGTTTCGTTTTCCTACGAAAAGTTGCCCGGTTAATGTGTGATTCACACTCGTTTGGGTAATATTTTGGTAACAATAGAACCGTTGAATGCACAAAACAGAAAGAACAAGAATAATCAATAAAAAAATGGATCAAGAATGGGAATGAAAGAAAAACAATTGAAAACGAAACAGAAAGAAAACACAGCTTCTTGTCACGGCGTGTGATTCCTTATAGGAACTATATTTTTCTTATTATGCTTCTTTTTGATAATAAATGATTCAGATAATGATGAAGAGGTGAAGTTGAACTGAATCTACAATTGCTGAAAATTCATTTACACCTTGAGTCGACACATTATTGGTTTTTTTTTGGCTTTTTTCATTTTTGGTAAATTATTAAGCATTTCATAAAATGTATTCGGTTTGAAATGCACACACGTTTGGTACCCCGTTCGAAGTGAAAAGCGAACAATCACCGTGAATCGAGAATATATTTGTCGAATTCGAAGAAAATGAAAAACTCATTGTGCAAACGGGAAAAAAAAGGAAAAGGGCATCGGCACCAAAATATATACTAGCCAGACGCAAATTCATTCGATATAAATTTTCGAGTGCAGTGTAAATTAAATAACACAAAAAAGAATAACCATTCGATTCATTTTTCACAAAGGATAAACGATTGAAAACGTAAAAGAAAACAGTGAACAAAAGACCATTCGTACCTCGTAGCCAATATATATTGAATTCACTCCCATTGGGTTTTTGTTTGTGTAACAATTTGATTTATTATTGTTTTGTTTTTATTTGCACTCAGTTGTGGAGATTTTTCACTCTTGAGTCTTGGTTTTTTTATTGATTTTATAGTAATTATTCGATTAGCCTTTTTTACTCCCTCAAATTGGCGATGCAAATGGCAAATGATGTCGGTTTTCTAGTCCAATTGCAGAAAATATTGAATCTTAAAATTCCCATTGGACGGGGTTAAAATAATAAAAAGCAGAACGGACCTTTTTTATTAATTTTCAGTCATTTTTTTATGTATTACAAAATAAACGTATGCTTGCAAAAAAAATGTCAAACGAAAATATCCATTAAATTCATTCTAGCTGATAAAAAAAATGTTTTTATGGCCATTTCAATTAACATCTTTTATAAGAAAAAAAATGTGAACAACGAAGATTTCACAATGAAATCTATTGACTTTTTCCAAAGAACTACTTGGAAGACGAAAATAAAAATTGTAAAATCAATTTGAAGCCGAAAATATTTTGACTGGATATCAAATTGGTTGCAAGCAAGCAGGTAAAATCAGGTAAACCAAATTGCATTTTTGTTCTCTTTCAGTGTTTTATTTATGGTTTTTCAAGACGACAGTTCTATAGAGAATGGAATAAACAAATCAATAGTTATACGTTCCTTTCAAACTGATTTTCTTTCTTTCGATCGAAGGCTCTTGTTTGCTTTTATTTTCTATTTATTTCACGCTTTTAAGATTTCTCTTCACTTGTCCGACAGCGTGTGTGTGTTCTGCATTCATTGTTTGGTGATTATTGTAACAATTCTATTTTTGCGCAAACGTTGTGGGGGTGTGAGAAGTATCAAGTTGAGTTCTTTATTTTCGATTGACTTTCTAATCAATAAATAGAGTAGGAGAATTGTTGGTTCGATTGTTTAAAAAATGAGTAGATGACATGTTTCATTTCAAATGTATGAAGAAAAGTCCTTATGAAATGACAATAGATATTGTAATATTATTGTGCCGACGGCAATGTTAAATTTGGCAAGAAAAAACTTGATTCTCTGTTCACGCAATAATCAGCTTAAATAAAACCACAAAATAAATGTGCAAAAAAATGAACAATTTTCGAATAGGGGATTTTGGAGGCAAAAAAATGGCATTCAGTAAGCTGTGAAGTGGCCATTTGAATGAAAATTCAAACAATGTAAAGAGATTCAAGTGAAAAAAAAAACTCGTATAAAAGGAAGCAGGCCATAGCTATCGGCAGATGTACTTTGAAGATAAATTTCGAAAAAAAATCATATTCATCGTAATTTACTGTTGGTTTGCATTAATTTTCTGCACTGATATTAAAAAAACGATCTGTTTTTTAATATTCATTGCCGACTGGTGATTCACATCTATGCACAAACACAAAACTTTTATCAATTTTATCTTGTCGCTCGATAATATCATCATTGCTCGCGCACTCATACACTTCGAACTGTTTTTTTTCCTCCAAGTTTATGTAACATTTTCGCTAATATGAAGAGAGAAAGAGAGAAATGGTGCTTCAAATAAAATGAATGTGAAAAAATATATACAGAGAGAGAGAGAGAGAGAGTTTATTCTTTGTGGTTGTTTGAGGCGTGCGCGCCCGAGATCGCATACTGAATGCATTTGCTATGCAAACACATCATATGCCTAAAGTAGTAATGAATGCAAATACACATAATTGCTGGTAATAATCAAACATCGAAAATAAACATAAACACATATACACAGGCCACTAGTGCAGCAGCTATCGTCATCCAACCGGAATTGCATTTTTGAGCAATATAAGCTTTTTAGTTGCAATTTTCACATTGCGTATTGTTTTAGTTTTCACTGTTTATATATGATTTCTTTCTTTCTCGCTTCGTTGTTTTTTTATATATTTAAACTTTAATTTATCTCTTTCACTATTTTGTATACAAAATGCATTGTAAATTTGGCGAAGGAAAAAAAACCGTCCAAAAATTCTCACATACAAAAATAGCAGAAATTCCACACAGCAAAGATACAAAGTTATACCGGAGTTTAAAGCAGATAAAGTTGTAAATATGTGAGGTGCAGAAAGAATTGAATATAATTTTCTCCTTTATTCGTGTTATTTGTTGTAAAATGTGAAATAAAAATATATATATGAATGAATGCATTATTAGTATGGACGTAGAGGTGAAATGGGACAGCGAATACGCGTGTTTCTGATGCAAGGCTGTGTGTATGTTCGGGTTTTTTGTGTTTGTTGCTTTTTTGCATCGTAAACAAATGCAAAATAATAAATTTGTTAGAAAAATGAGAATAGGAACAACAATAAACAGAGTCTGAAATATTGATGGGAGACCGATACGATTATTAAAATCTCTTTTATACTTCAGTTAGTTTCAGCTTTGTGCAATTTCTTTTGTTATTTTCATAATTTCCTCTTATCAGATTGTGTAATTATAATCGAACGAACACAATTCGTTCGCCAGTTTTTATAGCCTTATCAATGTTTTTGTTGTAAACTCATTGTTGCTTCTTTAAAAACAAACATCTTTTTTTTTTATTCGCCGAATCGTACAACGCGTAGAAAATTTTCTTAAAATTTCCGCAAATATTGTGTTCATGTTCCGATTCTGATTCGGTTATTTTTGAACGTTTCAAATTGAAATAACCATCGTTCTTATCGTTTGAGCCATTGCATAATGTTGAATTTCAATTGTTGTTTGCATAAGGATATTATTACACACAAAAAAATTTGCGGTAAAATTTAATGCAAATGCGGTTAATGAGAAGTGTGTGGTTAAATTTAAAGGTAATGCGGTAAAATTTCAGCATTTGTCTGTATTAGAATTCACCGCAATTTACCGCATTCATACAAAAATGACCGCACACGCTTAAGACTGAATGTTTGATTTTGACTCTTATACGTGTGCGGTCATTTTCGTATGAATGCGGTAAATTGCGGCAAATTCTAATACAGAAGTATCCAAATGTCTAAATTTTAACCGCATTTGCATTAAATTTTACCGCAAATTTTTTTGTGTGTATGGTGCCTTTCGGCTCGGGTTCTTTTCATTTGAAAATGTTCCATACACAGACGATTTCATTCGGAATTTTTATTTTGCTTCTTGAAAAATTGGTTCAAAAGTTCTGTAAAGTGAAAAAAAAAATCTTCGACTGGCACACTTCCCTAATCGCAAATCCGAAAATATAATGAAACGCAAAAAAAATGTAAATTTACCACCAAATTTGATTTAGAATGATTTCGCCCAGTTTGCAAAGCACGCACACACAGACACACACACTCACTCTGTATTTTTTTCGCAATCGTTGAATGTTCTATTTTTTTGAAGTGTTCGTTTTTGGTTTGAAACTTATCGATTTTCCTGAAAACCGTTATATCAAATCAACTCACTCTATTTTTTTAATAACTGCCAAATTTGCTCGCTTCAATATTGTAGAAACCTTTTTAAATTCTCTGTTTATTTTTCTAGTCCAAATAAAAAAAAGCGAATGCATTCACTGTTTGCAATATTTCGGGAATATCCTTTTTTTTGTTTAGAAACTGTTGTCGTGTCTATCAATTCAATCAATTTGGTTGTTGATGAATTTGCTTCGTCGCTGATTTGTTGCCCTTTTGATATTTTTTTTTCGTTGGTATTGTTTGTCAATTAGATTTTCGATTTCAAAAAAAAAAACATCAAATCACAATTTATTATTATCAGTCATTAAAGAACGCATCGATTTTATCGCGTTCCGTTATTAAGAAATAAATTCTCCGATGCTTCGATTTATTTGTCGTAAATTTTTTCTTTTCATTCGTTGTTAATAAATTCACAATTGCTGTTATCGAATCTATGATATGAGACTCTTTTATTTATTTTTTGGATATATATGTATATTTATACGTAGAAAAATGTTTAAGTGACGTGAAAGAACACTCTAATATGCACACACACGGCAACGGTCGGAAGCCAACTAAATACGCTTGTTCAATGCATTGAACGGTTTCGGCTGATTTCGTTACCCAAAAACATACAACATGAACAGTGAATGTGTTAGCCGATATTACGTATACGAAGTCAACATAACACAAAAACTAAGCAGACGACATCAGCGTGTGAGCAAACAAAAACTATATCATCCGTATGGATGTGTGTGTGAGAGTGTGTAAAATAGTGTGTGGAGAGAGAGAAGAGAAAAAAACGAAACGAAACAACACATAGCCCAAACATATTCGATGACGACGCTACTATGAATGATCACGCGGCGGGGTTTCGATTGTTTTCAATCTAACGCATACATTCACACAATCATTTCTAACCGTTCCCTTTTTGCACTGACGTACACACAAAACTCGCATACATATGTCATGCAATTGCATGACGAACAAAACACGCATATACTTTCATCTCTTTCGTTCGTATAGGCTACTTGAGCGTGGTTTCAGTTCCATTTCACTATGTGCGACCGCATGTGTGCGTGTGTGTGCGTGTCTGTGTGAGAGAGATTGCACAAAAAATGGGCGGTTCCAAATAGATGTGTGTACCGTGTACGGTAGGTAGATAAAGGCGTGAGTTTTTGCGCTTGTGTTACGATGTTCTACCGCAATTTACAATATTCTACTTCACCTTTGCGTTGTACTTTGTTACTTTCAGCAATATTCTCACTTCGCACAACTACAGCCAGATGGTTTTTTCTGTACATTGAGTGTATACGGTGTCTTTGAACGGAGTTCACATGAATGTTAGCCACAACGTCTGTATGGTGCTGTAAGTTCAGCATCACCCATAATAATAATCATAGCATCAAAAGGTAAGTCACACATTCGCAAGTTTTTTCTCTTTTTACTCGTTTGGTTCACGTTTTTTTTTTCGTGTTGCTTCATGTAGGACGCGAAGTGAAGTAATGTTTTGGATTAATCGGTGTTGAAAAGCTTGCGACTTTCGGTGGTTTTCGACGTTATGCTTTTCGTTTGCTCGCATACATAATATTTTCCTACATTTCGCAGCAAATGTGAATGTATGGTAAAATAGTTTTTTTTTCCCTCTCTCGTCAGATACACACATGATGTCTTGTATTCTATCTCTTCGACGATTTTTTTTTGCCCATTTAGCTTTTGCACTGGAAAATTTGTAATATATTTTTTGAGCATATCACCGCAGGATGTTTTCCACATTTAATTCTCGGTCAAACAATATGAAAATGGAAAAGCTTTGTAATAAAGTGGAGGCGATAAAACTCAAGTAGAAAAAAAACGGATATCATGCGAATCCTGAATAGAATTTCTTAGACCAAAAAGGACCCACGTGAGCGATTACTTTTGCACGCAAACCCACACGAAAATGTCCAATGACTTTGGCTCGATTGGCTGTGTTGCGTAAAATGATTACAATTTTGATTTTATTGTCGTAATTTTATGACTATTTTGCTCCAACCATCGTCATCCAAGCGCGCATCGCATCATAAAAGTATTGTATCGTAATGTCATTGCAAGCAATCACATCAAATGTTAAATTGTTAAAACTTACCCGGATTTTGAATTGACGCACTACGTCCTTCATGAAGCATCCTTAGCGAAAAAAAAGCACACACACAAATGCAATGCCGAAATGTCTGTACTTTTTTTCGGTGATTTTTTTTTTCACGTTTTATTTTTCGTCCTAGTATTTTATTTTATGAGCTATATTCGCATTTTATGTGAGGACGGTAGTTAAAATTTTTAACGAGTAACATTTTTATGGCTTTGTGCAACTCTACAAAGTAATGTTTTTGCCCATTTTCTATTTTCAAACTTCGTTTGTTCCAAATTGCAGAATGATACATTTGGCTGCTATCATGGCGAACGAAGATGCTTTTGAGTGAAAAATCATTGCACAAATAAAGCAAACAAAAGTGCCAATGAAATGCGACTTAGCATCTTTACAGTTGAAAAGCATTTTTGACATTTATAGGGTTGATTTGACGCTACATCGCCGAAAACTTCGAGATATTTTATTATTATTGTTATTATTACGGTGCGTATGCGTAGTGAAAGAGATGTATGGATTTTTGTTGCTGTTTTTGTTGTTGTTGGTGCTGGTGTTGTTGTGTTCCAGTATTCTCAAAGATTTATGTAAATAGGCGAACAAAGGTTTCCAACAGCTCACTCGTGAATTATTGCTTTTTTCCCATTCTGCACACTTTTCGTGGCAGAAAAATAAATGAAATGCCGAAAAAAAGAATACAACAACAATAATAATACACACACAAAAAAAATCGCCCTTTCGGTGTTTGCTGGAAACCTCCTCCTATTTTTTGGCCGCTTCTCTTTCCACCACCGTTCGCGCTTGTTCATGCTTACATTGCCATTTCACTCTTTTTGCATTTAATTTATATTAGTTCGTGTGCGCTTTTTTTTGCTTCATCTCTTCTGAGTTCTGTCTAACTTTTTTCCAATGCTTTTCTTTCTCTTTCTCTCTCTCTCTTTTTCTCTCGCTACGTCGTATTTTATGTTCAGTTCGTTCGTTTGATATAAATTATACGTTTTGTTGTAATTCTTCGGTTGTGCCCGTTGTCTTTCCTCGCTTGCTAAACAGAGAGTCGGATGCAGAGAGAGCACAAGGAATGGTTTTGCGAATGAAATGATGGAAAAATCGCACACAGATTTTTATTTTTATTGTATGCATTCTCTTATCTAATTCCTTATGTGTTGGTGCGCTTGCTTGTTGAGTCTTTTGCTTGTTGTTTTTATTTCACGTCTCTTCGCTTTACTACATCTTTTCACTCTTTAATTATAATCGTATATCGTTACGAATACTGTAGCGAAGCGTATGTAATACGCTTAGACATGACTTGTTTGCCAGTGTGATGATGCTCAAGTGTTGTTGTTATAGTTGCTTTGTCTTTTCCCCCCATTCCTTAATTCTTGAAACGCTTAGTTCATACTTTTTTTTCCTACTCTCTCGCTCTCTCTCTCTCTCTTCCCCATTTCTCTGTTTGTTTGCAAGTGATTTTCTCTTGGTTGCTTGCCGTTGTTATTCTTTAGTGCACTGTGCACATTGCACATGTACGATATTTCGTTGTCAGCTCATTCGTTTCGATCGCAACTCTATCGATATGCGCACAAATAATATCGTTCCTTATTTGCAATATGTATATATGTACACATTTTAACGAAACAAGATGAAATTAAACGAGAAAATAAACGAATTCTGGTGCATTTTAAAAGCATTTTAGTAGCCACGAAACACACACTGCACGAAAAAGAGAAAAACATATTTAATTCAATGATGGTTTTGATAGTTCTTGATTCTTCGAATTTTTACGCGTGTGTATGACAATCTCGGCTGCTTTTCTATACATTCAGATTTAGCGCACATTACATTTCATCTTATTTTCATTTCGTCGAAACTAATTTTTTTTTGTTGTTGCACCAAAACCAGAAGTTGTCGAGATTCTCGCTGTTTTATTGCCGTTTCAGAGTCAGAGAGAGAGAGAGAGAGAAAATAAAAAGCAGAAATCGTGGGTTACGGGTGTTTGTAATGTTAGCATATGACAATCTACGTTGCACATCATATATGGAAATTTTTGATTTCGATGAAAAGGAAAACATGCGATTGTGACTATGATTTTTCGAATTCTACACTCATTTTGTGATAGGATGTACGATCGGTTACATTGCACGAACGGAATTTTTCTCAGAAGTCAGAAGTGAATATTGGTGAAAACTCTTGTATTTCATGATTTAATCTTTTTCTTTGGTAAATACATGCACCTTCTTTTCTTTGGAAAATCGTCAAAAATTGACGAAATTTGACAAAAATGGAAATAAAGATGTTTATTCAAAGTTTGAAATTCACATATTTCCTAATTGAATGAAATCTTTTATAGAAAAACAATTCGGAAATGACGCAAATAGTATATACAGTACTCGTTGTCTTTATTAAAATTATCGATTCATTGGAATAAGCAAGAATTTCACCATTGAAACTGGTGGTGCATGACCACAGTACAAAAGAAGATGGGGAAAATAGTCTATACAGCAATAGGACACAGGCCAATAAATGCGATTATCTTTTGAATAACTAATAACCGAATGAACGTAATTTAGCTAATTGTTAAACGTAAAGTAATATAAATTCAATTAGTTTCATTGAAATTGTTACATTTTTTATGATTCGAAGCCAATTCTATTTTCGTATGAACAAAACGAAAATGAGGCGAACCATTTTATTCAGCGATGTGAATCAGCGATATGCGTTGATTGGACATACCTTATGATGAGTCTTGTATTAAAAAACATTTGTGACAATGTATATTGTCACCTTCGATGAGTTTCATTCAGCCATTCACATTTTCTATTTCATTGTTATATCCATCTAAAATACAAGCCAAATGATTCAATTGATTATATTCTCTACCAGCAGAATGCGTGTTATTTCCTCTATTTTTTTATTTGTTCGGGGTGGATAAGCGCCGGTGTATACATAAAAGTGTAATGAATCTAATTAGTTTAATGACTGTATAATTTTTCACCTCATCTAAATTCGATTTGTGCGGTTGCCAGAGAAAAATCTAGCACACCGATTCTATGATGGATGTGTATTTGGGTTCTATTATAATTCATTTATCAAATCTATAAAATATTCAGTTACAAATGAATTTGGTTTTGAACACCTGCCAATTTTGACTCAAATGACATAGACTTTAACATTACCAACACATTTTTTTTTTCGATTATTTTCCGAACGTTCTTTAATTGAAATATTGCCAAGAATTAAAGAAACACATGTAATTATAATTGGATGTCTCTAAAATAATGTTATGTGATGAGATTACAATTTTCAGATAAGACCGAGATAAGATATAAGATACCATTTCAGATCGATATAAATGTAAAGCTTACTCATTTCATGCTCAACTTTATTCACTTTGAGTGTGCAAAGTAAATTAAATATATCTGTTTCTATTTTGATTTTGTTTG